TCCGCTCCTAGTCCGCAGGCTGCGTCGCGACCCTCTGCGGCGTTGGTGACCTAGGTCCTCGCAGGACGAAATCGGGTCGGGGGCGCAGGCCGCTGGGGAGGGTCGGGGTGGGCATCTGGACAAGCCCGGCGCCTCGCATCCCAGGAGAGGGAGTCCGGCCTCCGCAGCCAATCCGGACGCAGGCGCAAACTACACTTCCCAGAAGGCGCCGCGGCGCCGGCGTGGGGCGGGGGAGGTGAGGACGGGGCGAGCGCGGGGCGGCCTGGTCCACGCCCCCTCCCCACTGGCTCAGCCAGCGACATCGCAAAGTTGCTAGGAGGGGCTTGGCGCAGGGACCCGCGTGGCCAGCTGGCGGTGTGCTTGCCCGCGTGTATCCATCCATCCATCCATTCGTTCTTGCGTATAACATTTACTGAGAGCATCGTATGTGCCACGTTGGGGATGTTCGGATTAAACAGGACCTTCGTCTCCCAGAGGACGCATCCCGTAAACCGACCGTGACCAGGGCCTCCGGGGAGGCGTCGGGAAAGCGAGTCCCAAAAGGTGGTGAGGGGGCTGCAGGCCCGACCGCTCCGGTGGCAGTAGTGGGTGGGCCCGAGTGGCCGCGGGACCCTGGCGCATGCTCAGACCTGTTACCCGCGCCCGCGCTCCCCATGGCACTTGACCCGTGTGCCATTATATCTGTGTGGCTATTTGCTGGCCTATTTTGTTGATTGTGGTAACCCTGAAAGTTTCTGGCACGTAGTAGGCCCTCAAATAAACATGATGAATGAGCGAAGCGTGAGCCCCACCATTCTCCAGGTCAGAAAGGACGCAGTGGGCCTTGGAGAGAGTGGCGGACTCCGGAGGAGAGGACGCTGGCCGAGCCCAAAGAGCCTCTTTCCGCGTCTAGAGGACCCCCCTGTTAGGACGGCTCAAAGAAGGTGGGCATGTGGGGCTAAACCTGCTCTGTGAGACAAAAGCTAGCAGAAGCAGAGAAAGCAGGGGTCTAGCAAGGAGAAGGCGCCTACTGCCCAGAGAGCCCTTCCCCGCATCCCCACAGTTCTCTTCCTCTGGAATGTTTGGAGAAGGGGTATTCCTCGGCCAGCAATCTCTGTTGGTCCCTGCAGCCGTTGTAGCCTGCCGTGGGTCTCTGCTGGCCTTGTTGCATCTCCCAGAACTCTGGAGGACAGCATCGATAACTTCGGCCTGGCCTCCCAAGAAAGGCCAAGGGAAACCACTACGCTGGGTCACTGCCCACTCCAGACCTGGGCATAGCCCCCTCCTCCACACCCAAGGAATCACTGACACAGGACCCGTGTCTGCGTAGCCTACTGTCCTGAGGATCTGAAGATATCACAAGGTTTCATGTTATGGAAAAGGACCATTTAAAGTTCAACATCTGGTCTCAGGATCCCTAAAGGCCACAGCGCCTCGTGGTAAGTCCCTTGCCTGTGCTTTGGGCCTTGTGTCCCATCTTCTTGCTCAGATTGGCTTCCTCCTCGTAGGTGTCCCATTTCCCAGCTCGTCCGCACAAGCCACCCTCAGTCTCGGGAACCCTAAACTTAAAATCTAAATCCTAAAATCCCTTAACTTAAAAAAAAAGGTAGTATCTCTACCAAAGAAAGACACATCTTTCTTTTAGCATGTACAGAGCCTTGGCACCGCTTTGACTCAGCCTCCCCCTACTGGCCAGGCTTGGGTCCCATTTGAATACTCGGGGTCAGCGATTGCTTAGAGCAGTTCACCAACATCCCATTTGCTGAATAACCAATTTGCCAAAAATCAATTTGCTGAATTGCCAATTCTCCTAGTGACTGAGAAACTTCCTTCCTACCCCAAAGTTTGTGTTACACCTCCCACCCAGTGCCTGCATCCACCCCTGTCTCTGTATCTGCATTGCAAAATGATTGTGGGGAACCATCCTAAATTAAGTTTAAAGTGTTTATTTGGCAGTTCAGGACAGAGGCAAAGGAAGGAATGCAGATGGAACAGAATTTTTAAAGATTCTCAATAATTCAAATTGGTTATTCAGCAAATCGATAATTCAGTGGTTTAACTTTCTTCATATTCAACTTTTAGCTCTCCAGTCATTCTACGAATTGGCTTTTGGTAAACTAGCCAGCTGCAGTTTTTCCAAACAATTTAACTAGCTTCCTCCAAAGGTAAATGGCCCTGTCTGTTTCTCCTTGTGAAAATGAATGCACTTAATTTGAATATTTAAGTATTTTTGATTTTTGTTATTTCTTTTTCTATATGAGGTTATTTTAAAGTTCTTTCTAGTTTCCAAATGTATAGAAATGTATTCCAAATGTATAGTCTTTTAAAATTTTATCTTTTTGTTGTTGAGTTTTACCTTATAATAAAAGAATGGAGTATGTGATGTTGATTTTTTTTTTTATGATTTTCTGATACGTGCTTTGTGGCCAGGTATGCAATAAATGTTTCAACATGTTTCATGGTTGCTGCAAAAGAGTATGTATATTCTGATGTTGGTTGTAGGGATCTACTTAGGGCTACTAAATCAAGCTTATTGATTGTGTTATTTATATTTTCTATATCTTATCTTTTTTTTGCCCTTTTGATCTATCAGTTACTGAGAAAGATGTGTTAAGTCTCCATCAACATTGTGCATTTGTCAATTTCTTCCTGTATTTCTGACAAGTTTTGCTTTATATATTTTGAGCCAGTGTATACAAGTTTAGGATTGTATTTTACTGGGAAATTGTGTATTTTATTATTAATTAACTCTGTTTATCCCTAATAATACTTTTTGAAATTAATTTTTTATATTGAATTATAGTTGATTTACAATGTTGTGTTAGATTCTGGTATACAGCAAAGTGATTCAGATATATATATTCTTTTCAGATTCTTTTCCATTATAGGTTATTACAAGATTTTGAATATAGTTCCCTGTGCTACACAGTAGGACCTTGTTTTTTATCTACTTTATATATAGTAGCATGTATCTGTAATCCCAAACTCCTAATTTATCCCTGCATACTTTGGTAACCATAAATTTGTTTTCTGTGTCTGTGAGTCAGTTTCTGTTTTGTAAATAAGTTCATTTTTATCATTTTTTAGATTCCTTATGTAAGTGATATCATATGATATTTGTCTTTATCTAACTTACTTCACTTAGTATGATAATCTCTAGGTCCATCCATGTTGCTGCAAATGACATTATTTCATTCTTTTTTATGGCTGAGTAATAGTCCATTGTGTGTATACATTCTTTTTTATGGCTGAGTAGTATTCTATTATTTATATATATATACCAAATCTTCTTTATCCATTCATCTGTCGATGGACAAGTTAGGTTGCTTCCCTGTCATGGCTATTGTAAATAGTGTTTCTTTGAATGTTGGGGTGCATGTATCTTTTTGAATTATAGTTTTCATCTTTTCCGGCTATATGCCCAGGAGAGGGATTGCTGGATCGTATGGTAACTCTATTTTTAATTTTTTAGAGAAACTCCATACTGTTCTCCATAGTGACTACACCAATTTACATTCCCACCAACAGTGTAGGAGGATTCCCTTTTCTCCACACCTTCTCTAGCATTTATTATTTGTAGACTTTTTGATGATGGCCATTCTGACTGGTGTGAGGTGGTATCTCATTGTAGTTTTGATTTGCATTTCCCTAATAATTAGTGATGTGGAGCATCTTTTCATATGCCTGTTGGCCATCTGGATGTTTTCTTTGGAGAAATGTCTATTTCTCCAAACAACTATTATACTAATTTATATAATCTATGCTGTTTAGATTTACCAACATGCTCACTAATATCTTTGTTCACTATTTTTTCTCTTCTTTCTCCTTTCTTCCGAGTTCCATCTTTTTCTTTCTGAAGTACAACTTTTTAAGATTCTTACAGCAAGGATATGCTAGAAGTAAATTATTTAAGTTAAATATCTTCTTTTTCTCTCACACCTCAATGATAGTTGAGCTGAGTAGAGAATTCTAAGTTACTATGTTTTACACTCTTACTACTTTATTCCACTGTCTTAGAACTTTCATTGCTTCTGTTGAAAAGTCTGTTGTCGGTCTAATTATTATTATTCCTTTGCACAAGATTTGTCTTTTTTGTCTGGCTTCTTTTAAGATCATCCCTTTGTCTATGGTGTTATGAAGTTTCTCTACCTAGGTGTGATTTTATTTTTGTCTTTCTTAGAACTCATGGTTCCTAAGTCTGAGGTATTGTGGTTTTGTACAAGTCTAGAAAATTTTCAGCTATACTACCTTTT